AAGTCAACATTACCAGCACCTTACAAAAGACTCATTTACTACCTCAAACAAAAGACAGCAACTTATGATAACACCCACACATCTTTRCATAACAATACCGACTAATTACCGTTTACTTTAGGAATGAAACAGAGGTATAAATACCATTGACTGTCTCTCATTTTCTCACTGGACTCTGAAGATGACTTCCGCTCAGGTTGTCGAAATGTCAGTCACCAACAACAACAATCTTTCTCAAGACACTCACCTGGACAATCACATTTCACAACAAAATTCAACACCTGGGTTCAAACCATTTACTCTTAATAGTAAGACAATAGATGATTTTTGTACAAGTGAAATATCCCTGTGTTCCTTGATTACAGACTCGTTTACTCAGGGATAGCCTGATTTTAGAGTCAAAATGTTCGTAATGCCAATGGTAAAGAAAAAATATGGTAAGTCTAGAATTTTGGCCAGGGGTTAGGGTTAGGGTTCAAATACTCAAAACCAAACTTCCATAGGCTCCACTTGTACATGGAATATCTTCTAAGTAAAGGATTCTAGTGTAGACAAATCACCCTTCCTCACCCCCCAACAACCTCCCTTTTATATTAATTCCAATGTGCGTACCTCTGAGTGTCTTCATGTAATTTACTGCCATTCTCAGGACTGTTAGTTTGTCRGGTTTCCTGGCCAGTCCAGTACACGACGGTACCATGTCTGACAACTCATTGATGTATGCATTCATTTTATTTCTTCTTCTGCGTTCAATTTCACTGTGATTTTCTCTGGAATAATAATGATGGATATTAATAATAATATTAAATGCATAGTACATCATATATATTTGCCTTAAGCTGGGGTCAGACTATGGCTGTTCTGAAATAGAGGCCCTGTTGTGAAAGGGGGTAGGAATGTCCTCCATCTGAATTATAAAACTGCCCATGTCGCAATTTTAGAAYATTCTTGTGTTACTTGCTGTTGGTAATTCATTAGAGCAGTCTGTCGTTTGTCCCTAGTGTGTGGCTTTCTTGTCACACTTCAATACCATGTCACCTTGTTGAATTTACTCAGTAACAAGGC